AAGCATCCATATATATATATATATAAGAAACTTGGAATATATAAACCTCACAAGATACATGTATATTCAAAATATCCTTGAAAACATATCGTTATATTTATTTAAATTTTTCTAAGAGCATAAATTAATCTAGAAAAAGATCATAATCATTATGCTCCCATTATGACATAATATCTTTTCAACAACATACTAGATTTACACGTCTCAATAACATACAAAACTTAGTCTTAAGAACCGTGGTCACTTTAATAAGAAACTTAAGAATTTATCAGGCAGAACTACTTCCAATTAATTAAAAGTAGTTCATACAAAATTATTTTGTTTAAATATACAATTCATAATTATCACTAAAGCCTATGTAAAATTTTATACAACTTTCAAATCATCAAAAATATTGTCTGAACTTTGAACAAAATACTTTTTACTTTGATATTATCAACATGAATTACAATTTTTTTATGTTATTAATTCATCCAAATGAGGGCAATCAACCTGATGAGAATGATCAAAGCCTCGCCATAATAAAATATAAGTCTAGGTGACAAAAGCACCAGCTATAAAGGATAGTTCCATGACTTGGGTGGAGATGTGCTTAACTCTACCTAAGTAGGACAATGTTTTTTTCTCCTTAATGAGAAAGAATTGGAGTTCATGAAGAGAGGAGAAAATTTTTGTATACCTCTATCAATTAAAGACAATTTCATGCTCTAAATAGAGAAGCTCCAGAGCTCAATAAGAGGAACTATATTATGTCTAAGAAGCACAATACTTAATCTCTTTAAAAAAAGTTGGAGCCTGTGAAGAGGGCTTTCACAATATCCATGTAAAATAATGGGAAACATATTTTAGATAAAAAACTATTCATCAATATAACTCAATTTGGTCCTCTAAAGCCTAAACATGGTAATCAATAATAATAGGCCAAAGATAATAATCAAGCAATGACAATCTGAAAAATGATAATGAAATAATAATAACTTGAAGGTCAAAAGTAGGCAACAATACTAAGAATATGATATTTAAACTATAATAGCCCAAAATTGATAATTAAGTCAAAGTACCTTAGAGATTATAATCAGCCAACAATAGTTATTAAATGATAATTAGGTAATACTAACCTAATAATGATGATAATCAAATAATAACAACCCAAAGATGATAATCGGATAATAATAATTTTAAAATTATAATCATACAATAATAGCCTAAAGATGATAATCTAACAACAATTATTTTAAAAATATAATTTGGCGATATTATCTTGTAAACAACAATCAAGCAACAATAACCTGTAGGCTATAATCCAACATCTCACTTTAGACATGCTTTAGCACTTATCAAGAGAAGAACGTACGGTAAATTTTTCTCATCTTCAAATAAGCATGCATACTTAGACACAATGGTAACTTGGCCCGGACATTTGTGTTTGTGTGTGTGTGTGTGTGTGTTTGTGTGTAAGTGCACTTGCCTGCATGCTGAAATGATTTCTCACGCACGATTAATTGCTTGTATGTACATGCTACTTCACATGCATAAATGTGTGGTTGCACGAACATGCCCTCACCCAGACACACTTATGGGCGTGTGAGTACCATCGCCACATACGATAATGACTGTCTGACCTACCTCGGTCCCTGACATACAAATTTCACCATTTTTTGATGATTTAGATATAATTTTGTTATTTTTAGAATCCAATTAAGCATATATAATAAAATTTAAGTGATTCAAAAAATTTAACAATTCTTGCTTTGATAGACAAACCTTCGAGAATGGATGAATTTATTATGATTGAGAATAATTTACTTGGTTCATGAACCCAAGGGGTGATTCACAGTGACATTCAAGGTGTTATGTATGACTCATATACCAGGAAATTTGGAGTATCTTGAAATGGAGATGTGTGTCTCCTGGATGAAGGGGAGTGTCTCTTGGTGTGAAGATGTGTCTCTTGGATTAGTGGGTTGGGGGGAGCGAGAGCGTGTTTGTAAATTTATCTGTGGGTTTTATCTATAAATAGATGCGTAACCCTATGGGTATGTAACTCATCTGAAATAGTGAAATCCACTGTTCTGCTTCCGAAGATGTAGACATCTTTGTCGAACCTCGTTAAATCTCTGCGTTCTTCTGGTTTTGTGTTGATTCCTGTTTTTCTTCGCCCTAAATTTCACAACACAAGGAGAAATCATACCCTATAATCTTTTTGAAATTATATATTTTTAACTTAAAATCTTTTGAAAACTATATATATATATATATATATATATATATATATATTTATATTTATAAGACAAACTTTGCCGCCCAAAAATAAGGGCAATTAATATGCACCAAAAAATTCATTTGAGTAGACATAGAGCTTGAAGCATGTTTGATAAAAAAAATTAGAGTTAAATTTAAGATCATTTGAGCATTGATTTGAACAATCCTAATGAAATATCTCGACATAATGAGGTCAGTGGCAATAAAATTGATTCAATTCGAGGCTAAATGAACCCAAATCAAATAATTGAAATATAATTGGAAATTTCAAAGTGAAACGTTGAATGATTTCCGCACGCAGCAATAATGACTCCTCAATGAGGGGAATCTAATGAATCCAAGATCACTCAAATTTGATAGCGTTAAGTAACCTAATTATTTAAAAGAAGGATCTGTAATTGAATGAATCAGCACTGACCATCTGATTAAGTGTTTTAAAATTTTACTATACTTATAATATTATCCAATCGTAAAATATACATGTTAAGTTTTTATTCAATGATTATTCATGTATTTGTCTAATTGTCTAACTAGCTCACTTTAGATATTCATGATGCTAATCTTATGAAAAGTTTCCCATAATGTTTCCGACTCCTGCCCTAATGATTAAGAGGAGATTAATTTGTCATAGCATAATTATATTTAAGTGAAGCATTTATATATATAATACTTACATTATTAAGAAAAAATGATGGTCAAAGTTTGGAGAGAGATTGAGATTAGCCATGTGCCACAACAACATAAAAAAGCCCCGTGTGGCAGTTAGCAAATAATAGACTAAAATATTCTTAATTAAAATATAATTAACCTCTTAACCACTAATTAGTGTTAATACAACGAATCTCGTGACTGGAGCTGTCTCTTTCCATTTCTACAACAAGACCCGAAAGATCTGGAACTCTGCAACAGGAAAAAACGACGCAGAGGAAGCTAATAAATCTTCACAGAAGATTTTCCGGCTGTTTATCGCCCTGAAACTGTAAATTTTTTTATTTCTGTAAGTTCTGTTTACAGTGCTTCCTCTTCTTACTGGTTTTCCTTCTCTGCTTTGGTTTCAATTTATCTCGGTCAAAGGAGACTAATTTTAGCAGACTTTAACCGAAAGTTCTCTTTTTTATTATCCCTCTGCCTCTGTAACAGTCTTGTTTCTGTAATTTTTGGAGATATTTGAGGGCTGAAGTAAGAAAATTGATGTTGAAGGAAGGTCTGCTAAAGTTCAAAAAATATATATATGTGCAAAAAGATAATGTGGATTTGTAAAAACTCTTTCCAATTAAAATTGGTCGCCAGAGTCCCAAAAATTGAAACATGCGGTGCAAGGAAAGCTTTTTTTATAATTTTTGGGGAGCTTTTTGTTTAAAGAATGTAGGCGATATTCTGAATCATGATTTTAACAAATTTCATTTATTAAAAATGCCTTTTTTTTGTTTTTGTTTTTTCATACGGCATCGACGTTTGAAAAATAAAAATGAAATCTTGGGGGAGTTGAGCGGTACTCGTAGGAGAGGAAAAAAAGGGAAGCATGTGCCTGTTTTCTCTTCTTCTTCCAGTTGTGGGTAGAATTTCTGCTCACTCTTTCTGTTATTTATTAGCAAATGAATGAGAAAGAAAAAAAGCCATTCTCTGGTGTATTTTTTACGGAAGATTTACATCGATAAAACTTAATTCTTCTGTATTTACATATCTAACACCTAAACTTAATTTTTACATATATGACCTTACCTATGAATGGAAAAAGTCTATTTCACTTTTTAAAAGTAAAAATAATGGTATTTTTGTGTGATATGGAAAGAATTTATTGGCATGTATATAAAGGCCACTTTTTTTAATTGGAAAAAAACTTCATTTTGTGAGTCTAGGAATTGAAATTTCTGTGTTGTTGAAATTGCAGTGTTAATTTATTCCGTGGGGAAGAAAGAGAACCTCCCTATTGGCACCTTGGAATCCATCATTCCTCTTTCATCTCTACCTAATCATATTCTTTATCAATCCTTCGTCATTTAAACACAAAAACCTGTTTTTTTCCCCCTAAAAAAAGGAATTTAGAGTCTAAGAGATACAAAATTAGTATCTTGGTCTCAGATGTGAAATTGTCATGTATTTGTTTTCTCTTTCTAACTTCTGCTTACTGTTTCAGCCACTTACTCAGCACAATTAAACTCCCCATACCCCTCAGCCTTGTCATTATAGCCTAGTTCCCTCAGTCATTAATCACATTGGCCCACTGTAATTTTATTATATGTGTTGCAGTGAAGTTTACTCTGTAAAACGTGATTTCTTCATGACTGGTTTTATTATTTAAGCATAAAAATCTTCAGTACTGATATAAAAACTTCTCTCAATGCAGGCAGTTGTTTTTAGTTTCATTCATTAAAGCTTTTGCTTGGTAGATATTGAAATGGAGGAGGTTATGATTCAGGTAAATTCATATAAGATTTATATATGCTTTTTAAATTGCTCATCCGGATACATTATGTTTATTTTATGGTAAAATAAAAAATAAATTTACTACTCTATTAAATTGCTGAAACTATTAGTTGCAAGGTGCCAGACTGGAAACAATAGAAGAGCAGTAAGGAGCTTTGATTGCTATAATTTCCTAAATTTATGTAAAATCCTGAAAAAAAATTAGCTCAAAAGAAAATCATTAAATTCATTGTTGAATATTTATGTGTGCAGTGGGACAATCCATACAAGGCTCTTAAAGTTGATACTTTTAGTAGTTGGTGATTTCTGAGAGTCGCACATTCTTCTCTGTTTTCTCTTGTATAAATGATACAGGAGTTTATAAAATATTTTCAAAGTTCTTAGCTTGTGCTGTAGGAGAAAATTTCGAGCTAGAACAAGTGAATATATATATCCCTTTGCAGAATCTGTAATGAAGATTGTCTGTAAGGTAGTGAATATTTAGCCCTTTTGCATGGCAGGTTTCAGTTAGGTTCTTCTGGGCTTTAGTTACCTGTTGGTTAAAGTTTTTCTGATAATGATTATGATAGGCAATGCAAAATTTGCTTTTTTTTACTAAGTTCATTGTTTGACAGAGTAATACAATGACCATGGATAAAGCTGGTAATGTAATCATAGACATTGAAAGCCTGAAGCATCCTCCTCCTGATAAACGTTGCTGTGGGAGTTCTGTAAGCAGCAATTTTCTTCATTCCAATTATGCTCTTTTTCTTCTTAACAAAAGTTTTTAATTAACTCTGGACATGTCTGCAAATCTTACAAAGTGTGTGTGATTTTTGTTATAACGAGTTTGCAGAAATCTCTTGTTCGTAAGAGTTCCTGCCGGATGGAGAAGCAGGAAATGGAGGAGCCATCAAAAAATCTTTTCGTGAAAGGCATGCAGCAATGAGTGATCTTATTTCCTTCAAAGCAACTCATTTTTAGCCTTTTTCAGTTCTGTTTAAATAATAGAATACTGTGCATCAGTTCACTCAGCATTAGAAGTTTGTTTTTTGCATTGTAAACCATCCTGAATATATATAATTGTGATATTTGATTTAAGTAGCTCTGCGGCTTAACTCCTTGCAGTTCTGCCTCCGCTATTGGATCAACTAAAGCCTCCGTTGGTTCAAAACAAAGCTCTGATAGCAGTACCTTCTGTGCTTAATAGCCCTATTTCAGCTGATTCTGGGGACGGAAGAAACCGAAGGTTCCAGCGTTGGAAAACGATTCACCCACGGAAAATCCTCCTCTTTTTTGCCACCATGTAAGTTCTTCTCACTCTGAAACAAATTGGTCAGAACTCAGAGAGTATAATTCTTGAGAAAAGTGCCAAAATAGTCTTGAGGGTCAAAATAACAAACAGAGCTCAAAAAAATAACCCCATCTGCATAGGATATCCCCATTTAAGGTTTATTGATGCTTATGCTGAAGTTCTTGGCTTATTATTATCATATACTATTTTTGGTCTTGTTCATTGATTGGGAAAGTATTTTTGATGAGGTGCTTGCATCTTTTGTCCAACACCTCATATTTTTTGGTTTTTTGGAGCAATGATAGAAACCGATAAAGCTTGGATGACTAGATCGATTTATTTTTGTTGTTGCAACACATAGTTCTTGCTAAACTCACTGGTTATGGATTTCTGGTTTCCTTTGTGAGTTCTTTTGCTACTGGGGATGGATTGGCACTGTGGTTTATTTTGGTCTTTCAAACCCGATCTCTCTTTTTTTTGGTGACATCAGCTGAATGCACTGTCTTTGTTGACAATTTCTCTCTTCTCAAAGTAGTTCGTTGACTATTTACATGGGTGTCAAAAGTCCTACAGTGTATAAAAATGTTGAATTAGACCTTAGATTTTTTTCATGGGGGCTAAAATGAGACTACTTTGGCCCCATTGAATGAGTGTGTAACTAATTTGACATTTTTATAAACTTTAGATTAAAATGACCTTTTTGGCTCCTGAATCTGATTACGAATGATGTAGTCTTATTAAGTTGATTCGGATCGTGTTAGTTGGACTTTAACTTTAAACAATTAACTGAATTTTTTTTTTGTCTAATTAGTAAGTTAAAATTGATTAAGATGATAGTACGCCTAATCTTGTGTTATGAAGCATCAATTCAAAAATAAGTATGATGAAATAGAAAAAAACTAAAAAGTAATGACGTGGTACCAAAAAAAGAGCACAATTTATATGTTTGGCTCAAACAAGCTTATATTCATAGAAGAGGGGATAAGATCCAATCAACTAATAAAGAAAATAAATTATGTTGCACAATCTCAGCAATCCTTGCCAAAATCGAATACGCTCTCCCTGAACAAATAAAAAGCCTTCAAGTCCCTCGAGAAAATAAAAAAATAATAATTTTGGAGGGTTAAAACAGAAAATTAAGTGCATGTAGGCTCCAAAAATTCTAAAAGCGCACCGGACTCTCGTTGAGGGCTTAAAACGGTGTGTGTGTTAAGTTCTGGGTTGAATTTTAAGAAGACAGATGAGATGGTAGATTAAACATAACCCAGAGATTTCGCCCTCATTTTGCGAGGACTTTATGATCTAAGGTTCGAGGTTTCCCATAGATGCAAACCCCTATGATTAATTACCTCTCTTAATAATGGGAGAGCACTCTCAATTAAAGTTAGTCATTAGGTGCTAAATATTCGGACTTAGCATATAATAGCAGTAATTTGAGAATTTAAATTATTAAAATCATCACCTTTGTGAGCTTAAAGCGGATGGTGGGGTAAATGACGACAAACCCAATCAAGATCCCATGATTTCGTCATCTTGGCTTGTCATGGCCCCGTATGTACTTAGTCAGAGGAGGGAGTCGACCAAACCTAGGCAAGGGATCCTTGTCAATAGTCATGGGTTGCTTCGTCTAAGGGGACTTTGTAAATCTGGGGTGAATATTTTTCTAAGAAGACTAATCTAAGTCGATTTTAGCTTACAGAGGTTTTTCTATCCTATCGAATATACCTTATGATTCAATCCTTAAAAGGGCAAACTGTCATTGGGCAACATACAAGCTATAGTTGTGACCACAATACAATGGTGTCATTTGGCGACAAACCACCCGATCCTAGTATTCCGGTTGTAACCCCTTATTTATGTTGTCATTTGGCGGCAAGAATCACGCGGATAGAAGACTCTGACTATGTCCTTACTAGCATAGAATTGCTTTGAGTTTGAATATAGTGATTTATTTGATATGGCATTGGTTCTTTGTGAGCTTGAGTCAGCATTTAATTTGTACATTGCGACAAATGGTTGTGGATGGTGGATAAAGATTTGTCCAAAAGCATCAGATGTCATAATTTTTAATTTAAGTATTATTTTTTTATGATTTAAAATATTTTGATTCTGATCGAATTTTGATTCCAATAAATTCAATTTGCTTGCTCTTTTATGACCGGCATTCTAATAAAAAACTGATAGCATTTTGACAGTCTTGCGGTGTCATCACTTATTGAAGAGCTGCATCGTAAGTCTGGGTCTGCCCACCACGCCAAGAAAGGTGTGTATTGATGGGTTTGCACCACCATCATATAATAGTGTATCCCGTCATGCAAATAAATGCTTGTATGAGTCTTCAAAAATAAAACAGGATCCCTCGCCACGCTAAGAAAAGCGGTAAGGATGTCACCCGTGCAATCTGAAGCACCCGCAACATATTCCCTTGCAGTGTCAAGAAAACAAGCACGAGTACTTTATTTTGAATAGTCTTATCACGTCTCGAGCATTATGAGCAAGCTGCACCCCGACACACTAAGAAAAACATGCATATGGCTCCCCACAACACATTGAACAAGTCAAAATAAATATTTCAGGAGCTTTTTGATTTGCCCACTACTTTGCAAGTACAGCATATGAGTTTCGCCCCACCACGCTCGATGCGCCAAATGTGTAGTGATAAATGTCTCAAGAATTATGAGTGTTATACCCTTCGTGCGACGATGAGATGATCATTTTAGCACATCTTCATGAATATCACTTGTAAACTTGCGCTCCCCTACCCGCATCAGAATCATTTACATATGCACCATACACATCAGCAAGATAAAATGAACGCATTAGATTTTAATTTAATGTGGAAGCTTGATTTCCTTTCCCCACCTCTTCATCTACCTGATAATTGCATGCAGCTCGTCAAGAAGGCGGCTGAGAGATGAATGGGAATTTTACCGGCAAGTGGAGGGAGCTGAGAAATGGGACGGCTCAACGGTGGTGAAGCAGGAAGGTTATGTTGGGGAGGGGGAAGGTTGACTTGCAGGAATTAAGCTCGGCGGCGAGGAGATTTCCGTCTGTTTGCCGGAAGGAGAGTGGATCGACGGAGAAAAGAGGGAAACGGGCTTGCAGTTCCTGCGGGCATGAGCAGTTGCGTGAAGGAGAGGTTGATGCGTGCCGGATGGATGGCTGCAGCGGCCAGGGGTTGAGCCAGTCGGCGAGGAAGAGGAGAACAGAAGTTCTGTGCTTGAAAGGGAGGAGGGGAGGAATTGCGGACTGTTTCACGTGGAGTGGGGAACGGGGCCGGAGGCTACACGTGATCCAGATGGATCTGCGGTCTTTCTACTACGTGGAGAAAAGGATAGTGGAGGGAAAAAATATTACCTCAGGAGTACTGATGCATCAGTACTCCAATGAGGGGGTGCCACGTAGGCACCACGGTGGGACCATTGCCTACGTGGCACCCCCTCATTGGAGTACTGATGCATGTGCATCAGTACTCCTGAGGTAATATTTTTTCGGGTGGAGGAGTAGGCGGCTTATACGAACAGGAAGATTAGAAGGCGGCGGGGAGGAAGAGGGAGCGTTAGAGTTGAGGCAAAAGGAAACGAGGGGAAAATTTTGCGTTTATAGGGGTTATATCCTTCTTATATCTTGGACGTTGTGTTATGTCACCCGGTAAGCTGTAATCTATAAATAAGTTTCGCGCTTCTATTTTCATATATTTTTAGATTACATGTAGTTTACAGGTAGTTTATAGGAAAATTATAAAGAATTATAACGTGAATATAACCACTCAATTCCTTTTGAATAACCTCCTTAACGTACGAAGTGTTGCGCAAGTCTTACATATGCAAATTTTTCAGGGAAACAAGAGGTTTTAGGGATTCGGTTTTTTTTATTATTATTTGTTTTGTTTTTAAATTTTTATAAAATATGAACAAAAAACATGTGGCATCATTTGGTTGGGCAAGGAGGGCGGAGGAATGGGCAAAAGCATGGAGGAGTAGCTAGAACGGTGGCTTCGGCTGGGAAGAATACAGCAAAAAATTACTAGTTGGGTTTAGAATAAAACAATTTTCTATTTCATCAATAAAACCTTTTATATATATATAT